CAATTCACAGGTCCAAAACGTGAAATTAGGCGGTCACCAAACGTGTCTTTCAATAAATCGATTGTGGCACGAGCTGCGTGACATGTTGCGCCGTCTTGTTGAAACCACATCCCCTGGACATCATGTTTATTCAATTCAGGGATGAAAGGGTTAGTAATCATAGCTCTATACCGATCACAATTGACCGTAACGTTCTGGCCATCATCGTTTTTGAAGAAGTACGGATCCCCAGCCCATAAAGCGCACCAAACAGTCAGTTTTTCTGGATGCAACGGTGTTTCGACATACACTTGAGGATTAGCTTCGCTCCAAATGCGGCAGTTTTGTTTGATGACTTAGCCATTCAACCAGAACTGCGCTTCATCGCTAAACAAAATTCAACGGCAATCTCGTTTTGCGCCCATCCGACGAATCTACGCCTTACTTGATGAATTCTTGATAAATTGCCAAACCAAACTGAGAATAAATCACTTGACATCTGTTAAATCGGTCGCCATCTTGAACAGTAATGCCAACTTAAAGTTCTATACATCGAAAAAAAACACCCATTATATACGAAAATATTGCAATTTGGGTTAAACTCTTAAGAACGATACGTATCACCTGATGTTAAAATAAACGCTTCTACATATTCGAAAATACCCCGCAGCATCAATGCTTAATCAAAATTAAAACGGTCCATTTACGTTTCAAATAAAAAAATTAAGTTTCTACAAATATTCGTTACGGTCCTGGCAAGACCTGCTTTATGCAGAATACCCATCTGTTAGGATGGGTTTTACCACGGTCCTGCCAAGGTCTGCGGTTAAGGTACTGTAAAATACTTTAAACGTAAAAGCAATAAACTCACTATATTTTTGGTCGTATTATACCTTTTTTTTAGCAAACAACTGTCCTGCCCTCAATGGATTTTAACAAACATGGCCTTCTTGGGAAAACATTTATTGCTCGTGTTCATATTTTTTGACATTTTTGGTAAATTATGACTATTGACATAACAAGTAATAACAATAAATAAAGTTTCTTTCTTCGATATTTTTGGTTAGGATTAAGATATTGGGATACAATTTTTACTAGCCAATCTAGTTGCATTTTTACTGCATTTTTTATAAGAAAAAGTTATGTTATTGCCTTTGATTTTTATGGATTTATATGTAAACGGGCACTATCCAAGTTTGTTAAAATGCGTTGTACCTTTTAAAAAAATCTTTTCGTCGCCTCGACCACTTAGCTTTAAAAACCATATTATATATGCAAATATATGAAAACTTCATTGTAAATTGTCTCGTTGTTTGTTGAGATGTAAAGTAATAAAATCTTTGCAGTACTTATAAGTAACACAAAGCATCACAATTACATCGAGATATTATTTGGCTCGTCTGACTCATTATTTTTCGGAAATCATTTTTAATATCTCCCCAGCTAAATACAATCGATAGTGCTACGGAGATTCTCTCGCGCATCGCCTTTTTCGAATCAAATTTTCTAGAAAGTTGGTATCATGCGTTTCTGACTTTTACGATCACCCTGCTGTTATTTGAAAGTGCTTTCTCAAGAAGGAATCGCTAAGGTCAAACAATTGCGACAGGCACAAAGAACTAACCAACGGAGACTTGGATTTTGGATTTCTGTCAAAATATCTTCAAAACACGTAGAACTTATTGGCTTATGTAAAACATCCAGTCAATAAAACGAACTTTTTATAAGTATATTTATTATCTATGCTATAATTACAACTCAACAAGCTTAGTTTCGGACAGTTTGGACTTATTTTTCTTGTAACTTCTTTCCGCGTCATTTCCCAATCTCTTAATTGCCGCACCCTGTATATGACTTACCGAAACCCAATTCGATTTAATGAATGAACGGCGAACTCGCATAGACTGCCGTTCTATTAAAGGGCGTGGACGTACGTACACCCATAACCCGAACCGTATAATTACGATGGAAACTTCCGTTTCTGGGGCGGGTGGTCGTCCGCTTCGGTTGTACATCCGGCAATTTTACGTCGGCAATATTTACGCAAGAAGGTCGGAGGTAAAATTTTTAAAGGCGTTGTTGCTGTGAAATTCAACTCCCAACGGGTAAATTCGACTCCCGGCGCATTTGTTGAAGAAGCGTCGACGACACGGTGTTATCAAGATGAGAATTACGTTTTAGTACAAAAGTAAAGGAACTTTTTTTAAATATTCAACCTCAAAATTAATAACTATGGAAATAAATACTCATACAGAAGTTTTTAAAATAACTTATTTTATATTACGCAATAAAAATGATGGTTTTTGGACAGAGTTTTATCTAATTCCATTATTTTCATGATATCTAGAAAGCATTATATCATATAATTGTTTCTACTCCCTCACTCTAAAATACCCAATTATGCATTGATTAAGATTGCGCAAAGTATCACCTTAAAAAGACAGCTTCATTTTTTTTTTGGTAGATTTAAATGATGATATATGATATCAGTTCTGGTCATCGCTCTGTCAATCTATTTGTGCTGTTTTGAAAAAAGCACACTGATAAAATTTATAGTTTCTTTGCATCGTCAAATCTGCGTATCTTTGAATCAAGTACTTGTAATTTTGGTAAATAGATATATACTATATATATATATATATATATATATATATATATATATATATATATATATATATATATATATATATATATATATATTTCATTCGAAATAACTTTTAAGCCTTAAAATCATAAAGACAAAAACATCCTCCAAAATGGAAGCTATTGATAGAAAAGATTATGGTGTTCTCATAAAACATAGAGTTTCAGAGAGCAGCAGTTTTCTTTACCTACGTTTTATATACTGTCCCCGTGCACTTCGACACCAAAACGGAATTCTTCAGGTATTACGAGCACTACTCAAGTTTTAGTAAAACAGCGCACACACATAAATAAGAGCAAATCCTTATAGCCAGCTTACACTACACTTACAGCTTACACTAGTCGTTTGTTTCTCTAGCCTTAATCGTCCATTATAAATTCCACCTTTAGTCCTTTACTTTACTTTAAATAATTGAAATCGATTAACATGGCCCATCATAATGATTACGTAATGCTATTCCTATTGTGACGACCGAGCCGAATAGGCCGCGCCCGACCCTATCTGCATCCTAAGAAACTCGCCTAAGCGCGAATCACGGACGCCGCTTCTCGAGAATACGACTTGAACATTCGACTCCCTTCAAGTGTTCTATAAAAGCGAAGCGCCGCTTCCTCGCCCGTCGAAAAGTGAAGCCGCTGAGCGCGGAAATTTAAATAATCAATTAATATAAATATACATTACATAAATTCTTGGTAGTTTGTATAGGGAGTAATATAATAACTGGTTAGTTACTTTGTTATTTTACTCGAAGTGATTTATTTAATTTCACTGTCGACAAACCTCATTGATTTTAGCCCATATATATGTTTCTTCATAAAAGTCATCACTCTATCATAATTTTCTATAAAAAAATAAAGAAATTAGACATACAATGGCGAAGTTATAGTGTTATAGTTTGCATATTACGGCTTTCGCCTTTAAAGCCATGTATATTACCAATGAGCCACCTTTTACTAAGGTATATTTGACTCGACATGTATTTTCTTTGTGGTACATTGTTTTTTGATAATGACCCCAGATACGTTAGCGCTTCCCGGGAAATTGTAATCGAAAAATGTCCAAACGCGAACAGCAGAAGCGAAAAAATCTCGATTTAAGCCGACAGCGCAAGTTAATTTACGATCTGGTGGCATCCTTGAGATTTCCTGTACAGATTCGTGAAAGTGTATTTATTTTTTGTTCCAGTTTCCGATGCCGCGATTGCATTACAGATATGAGAAAAACAATAATTTTTTCTGTAATTATTTATTGCCCGTTTTGGTTTGGCGCACAAAGTTCCTTCGGGGTTTCGCGTTGTCGGTTACTAAGAATGGTTATTCGAGGTAAAATTTCGCATTAAAAAAATAAGAAACTGCGGGTAATGCTTTGTTAAATATAGAAACGCCGCGAATAGAGCAAAGAGCAATATTTTTGAAAAGCCACTGTATTTGGCGGAGGTCATTTGAATGACATCATCTTTCATACCTAATTGTAATACACCAATCTAAAATGGCAAAAAAAAATTAAGAAATACGAAAACAGAGAGAAATGAAAATAATCTGTTCCAAAATAATGCACAGAATATAGATAATAATTATTTAGTTTCGACTATTTGATGGTGCTGGATTTAGACCATGAAAAATGTTAGTCTTTTCAACCATTAAGATGTCGGTTATGATATACGAGTAGTAACGATTTAAATTGAGTTGCATGTTCTGTTTCTGTTTGTGCTCAGATAACTAGATTTTTATTTCCAGTTTAAATCTTAATTGCTTTCTTTCGTGCTATAGTCAAAAAATCCCGGATTAAAAACAGTAAACGATCTGAATCTGTCGAAAACTGATAAGAGCGTTTTATTTTCGTCATGACGATAATTTACAATCACCCTAAATAAACATACTTAGCAAATTAACTTGTTTTCGTGTGAAAATTGCAATTCGAGTTTGTCGTTTATTCTGGGTTATTTTGGCGATGGAACGGAGTTTTCATGATTTGGATCACTTTTGGAAATGTCAAAGCTTTCGGAGTCCGCTCCGACTTCAACTTTAAGTCATGGCCAGCTAGAACAAAAGACGGAGAAGAAAGAACTACTATTAGGGATTTGAAACATAAAAATTAATACATAATATTAATTCTAATAGTACTAATCTCTTCTCTCTCTTTCGTCAAATAGTTGAAACAATAAGCAAAACAAGCAACAATAAGCAAAACAAGGGTGTACAGATTTTAAGTAGGACACACGGTATAAATATATTTATGGCTTCCGTGTCATCGCCATTTCCTGATGCTCATTTGTTGAATTGGACCCATTCAATTTTTGAATTTAAATTTTTTCAATTTAACTTAAACCCTGTATAATCGGAGTGTCAAATTTTAATTTAATATTTTTCATTTGCAGGCCGTAGAACAGGACAGACACCTGCTCCGCAAAAAACTCACCAGCAAAGAATCCGAACTAGACGCGCGGATACTGGAACTCGAAAATGACGTTTCGGAACTTAGAACCAAGCTCGCTGCCAAAGAGGCTCTCCTGAAGCAATGGGAGAGGGACAAAAGCAGCCTGGTCGAGGAACTGACGTCACAAAATGCCAGGCTCACCCAGCAACTCAAAGAATCCGCGTCCGTCGAGCACCAGCTCAGACATCAGCTGGAGAGCTACAAGGATCAGATCACGCTGGGCAAATCCAACCTTCAGCAACATCTGAACAGTGTCGACGGGCTGAAGGACGAACTAGAACTGGTGGCCGAGAAGAATAAGGAACTCGAGAGGAGGTTACACGCTGTGGCGGAAGAAAGGGACCACCTGGCTAGTACCCTCGAAGAGGCTTCGGATAGAATCTTGTTGATGGAAAGGCACGCCAGAGAACAAGACATGAGGTACCAAAAGATTTCTTTTTATCTGGACGATACCGAGTATTACGTTTTTGATCACTTAACTGGTCAATAAAATAATTTGCAGAAAAATAAAATACACACCGTCTTGGTTGCTAATGCATTTGTTATAGGTACCAGCAGAGTCTCAAAGAATACAGTCTACCGCAGGAAAAATTGTCCATAGAAGAAAGGTTGAACGGTAAGTCGTAATAATTATTCCCCATTTATCGTGCAAGTTGTTAACTGGATATCTATTAACGGTTTCTTTTAATTCTGGACTTCCCTCCCGCTCCTTGGTTATATCTGATCATCTGAACTCGATCTAAACTGAAATGGTTCTGCTAACGTAGTGAAATGGTGAAATAGTAAAATATTTTTTAAACATGAAGAAAAGAAAACAAGGTAACTTCGGAACTTTGTACGATAGTTGAGATTTTAAAAGAAATAGAAAATTTGGCTTATATATATAGTATTTGGAAAACGACCGTCACCACCAAAAAATTTTTTGCTACATTTCTAAGCTTATGTTATATACAGTTCCTCTGAGTCAAATAAGTATAATGAAAATGGTCTTGTAAACATAGATATTTTGTGTTGTGGATATTTTGTGCTTCAATCGATACATTGATATGTTTTGCATAGTATGGGAATTTTATTAGTGATGTGGGCCAAAATATTCGTGGAAATTTTCAATGCTAATAAATTTATGTGAATGATAGGGTGAGAAAAAAGTATGAAAACCTTAACGAAATTTTTAACAAGAAATTTAATGGCTTATCTTCAAGGTCAACTTTTTTCAACATGTTTTTTTAAAGGAAACTCCGTATTTTAGATGCGCCAATCTGCGGAAAAATATGTAGATGTTATTTTTATTTCAAAAAGTTTGACTTTTATTGCTTAAACCTCTCAAAATGTTTGGCGGTTTAAATGATTTTTCTTCTCCAAGCCCTCTATTTAAAGTTAGTACCAATGTTTTTCGTCATTTTTTTTTTGCTATCTTTTTAAAGTAAATCTATTTTAGATTACATACATACATACATATGCATTATATATTAAATAAGTATCAAATATGTATCAAATAATCAGCACGAATTTCATAAATGAGCAAGATAAAGACAAAGACAAGAATCCCCATTACTAGCCGCCTGTTTGTATTGTAAAATTTGCCTCATATTTCTATGACGGGCATATTCGCGTTTAGATTGAGTTCACCGGGTCATGCGCACACTAATTTACTTAAAAATATTGTCGCGTTTAAGTTAATTAAGTTTACCTTAGCGAAAAAGGATGCCTATTAATGACATAAAATATATAAATATAAAGAGAATATAAATTCCAGCGAAACCGTTCTTATTAAAGAAGCGAGACGTGTTTTGAAGGTCGTAGTACCACATTTCCCCTAATTAGTTCCAACATTTCCATACCCAATACTACCACTATATTTCTACTAATGACTACTGATTACCACTACACTTTCGCTAATTGCCTGTAATTACCCACTCCTTTTCCCTGAATTTTGCATTCGGCCATTCTCAGATTCTAGTCAATCGAATAAGATCAGTTTATTAAAATTTAAAAAATAAAATACAGCGTTCCAATTGACGCATATCAGTTTGCATGTTTCCACGCACATATCTATGTCATCGAAGCAATAATGTAACTGAACTAACAGTGTAACTAACTTCGCAATTGTCTATCTGCGTTCCGTAAGGTGACCACCGCTCCCTTCTAGCAGAAATGGACATCTCGGAACCTACCCTATCGCAGGAATGCATGTCGGTCTATAGGCAGCTAAGGTCGTTGGTCCAGCAGCTCAAGTCTCACCAGGACGACGATAGCGGATTGCATTCAGACTGTTCCACAGTATCGTTGGAAGACAGTAGCAGGTTCTCCCCGGGATTGCTTAGCGAGGTGATTGCTCGTTAGGTGGTAGGGGGGTTTCGTATTTGAAAAAACGGTTTACAGGTGGCGCAAGAGCTGGTAGGTTTGGTACTGGATACGGACGTGGTGCGGCTCTTGGAGAGACTGGAGCAAGCGAGAAGGGAAATACAAGAGAGGGACGAGGAGCTGACGAAGAGGATGGAAAGAATTATGGAGTTAAATAGCAAGGCAAGCAATTATTACTGGTCAATACAACATATACAGGGGCTCCAAGAATGATGACATGGTGGTCTCGGAAATCATGACAATTTGCAGGGACGGTTTAAGGTTCAAAAAAGTGTGGATCGAAACGGCACACTTTATTAGATCACAATTTCACCAAAAACTTTTTTCCGGGGGTATTAAGAAATGATTATAGGTCATAAATCTAATATTTAAAATTCACCTAAAACGACTATAAAGGCTATAATCTTCTTCAATTTCCTGATCATTTTAATTATTTTTCTTCTATAATACTTACGATTTCATGCATTTTTGGGGCCCCAAACCTAACGCGAAATAAATTGTTCTAATATATTTTGATACTTCGAGGATATCTGACTTCTTAGAGGTATCTAAGTATTTAATTCTGCTCAATTCTATATCTTTTTCATCGCTTCTCCAACGATCAAGTACGTCATAGTAACAATTTCTGAGTTATATATTTATATTTTATTTATTATTTATATTTTACGTGTTTCTCTTAATACTTTTTAATGTGTATGTGTAAAGTGCAGTTTTGTAACTACTGTAACCGATTTTTTTCGATTTATATTTTGTTCCGTTGAATTATTCAATAACAATATAAAATACACACATAACACTCCACTCGTTTGAAGGTCTATTTTTTTCGAACCTGATGCGGTCCGAAATATTTTAAAGTAATACTTGGCGATCATATTTTTTTTCGGCATTTTGACATAAATTATTATTTTTTATTTATGTTTGACTAAATATCACCAAATTTGAAAAAAAAAAGTGCATTTCAATATTTGTAAAAGTTCTAGGTCTCAATAATATACAGCGTAAAAAAATTGATGAATAAACTAGGAGGCTGCTTAAATTAGCGAAGTTAGATCACTTTTCCGCCGATTGTGAAGCGGAAAAATCAACAAAACTAAACAAAGTATACATACTTTTTTAAACAGGTCACTCTATACATGTATACAACGCTAGTATGATTTTTTTCTAAAACCAACAATAAAAGGGTTACAAGTGTATATTAAATGTCGAGATTAAATGTATGCTATTTATGATTAGTTCTCTCGTCTAAATTTCGTTTTAATAACAATAATACCTGTGATCGGAAAGCAACCAATGAACTCTTGTTACGTTCCCCAATCAAGATGACCGCTGACAGTTCATAAGCCCGACGCTTTTCTACCGAATGTAGCGTCTTTTCGGCAAAATATCCCTAATTACATTAAGTTTTCACAAAAAGAACGAGTTAAGTGAGTGGAGATTGCTGTTTAGAGATACAGTTAGCGACCTCTATATTAGTAATAACTATATGATTACAACAGTCGTCCGTGTGCGAAGTCGAACTTCAGGCAGCTTTAGAAGAAAGAGACCGAGCGAGACACGACGCTAACGACACCTCGTTGGCCCAAGACGAAGTAGTGGCCAAAGCAAGAGAAGACAGAGACCTGGCGGTGCAACGCAAAACCAAAGTTGAAGTTGAACTGGCCAAAACGCGCGTGGAACTAATGCAAGCGAACGGGCAACTGCTGGAAGTCGTTCAGCAGAAGGTGGAGATGAGTCAGCAACTGGAACAGTGGCAGGTATGGGATATAGGTTATGTTTGTCGACTGGACGCAGCACGGTGCGCGATTTCAGATGGACATGCACGAGCTTCTCGATGAACAGTTGAAGAACAAGCTGTCCAATCACGAACTGAAGGCGAGGAATAGCGAGCTGCAGGCGCCCGCGGCGCCGCCTAGGAGAAGACTGTTTTTGGGATTCTTTCAACGATGAACGCCGTTTTTTTTCTTTTTAGTTAATTTACACGAGAGTTTTAATAGTGTCTTTTTATGTGCCCGTTTGTAGATATATTGCGAATAGTATGAAATATACATTGTAATTTATAATTAAAGTTAACTAAAAACTGTGATTGTAAGAGTGTTTACAAACAATAACGAAATTATCGCGTACTTAAAATTAACCCGACAACCAAATGTTTTTTTTAAGTAGTTATAATAAGGCCCTCACTTTTGCATAATTTTGCTTTTCCAAATGTTAAAGCAAACAATTTTAGCGGAAGTCGGTTAGTCGAATACGTTTTGTGCAATTTTTTTTTCTAAGTAGATTTTGTCAAGTGTTGAAGGCATTCCGTCCAAAAATAACTAAACCTCTAAACTGAAACACGAATAGCAATTTTTACCATTGTAACAAAATAAGACTTAAATAAAGAGTATTTTATCAGTACACTTTCTTTATATTGCGCTGAAGAACTTCCCCCAGAACTCCAATTGAAATTTAAAAAGTAGAAGTCAGCAAAAAATGCAGGAAAAGTTTCGACAGGAAGCTGATGCCAACAGAAAAAGTCTGATCTCTGCCTCTGAGCAGAACTGCAGTATGGCTCTTAAGCCCAACCAAGATCATTTGATACCGTGCCTTGCCGTGCGGAAATTTAGTTTTAGTTCTTTTTGTGAAGTTAATAAATAAGTAATAAAACGGGCGTGCCTAATTTTCTCGACGCAATCGATCGTAGGCCAACACAAAACTTGTGTGGTTGGACTTCTTTACCAGGAGAAGATAATTGCTTCCCATAAACGTCAGATTTCGGCTGACCGCAAATTGCGGATGAGTGACGTACACTATTGGCAGGTTTCAAAGATTGTGCATTAGTTGTTTGATCTGTAATATACTATTTTATCCTAATATATAAATAGCGCATAAAACTTGCTTCAATTCGGATATCGAATGGGCGGAAATAAATCGTCGAAATAATTAGCCTTTGCAATGTACAATTCTAGCTGTTCCGATAATTACGTGAATAGAATATGGTCGAGTGAAAAAACCAAATTTCTAATGTTGGCTGAAATGTTCTTAGCTCCCGTTAAACATAAATGAAGAAGAAAATTGCTATCTTTGCTTAGATATCCATAACCAAACTAAAATAAATATTAAATAAACATGTTTAGTAACACTTTTCGGATGAAATTAACAACGAATCGTCTAAAATATGTTTATAGGCACTTGTCCGCACATAAGAACGCAAAAATGCAACACGTAACAAAGCAACAAAACATGTTACATTCGATTATTGAAAACCTTGGTGGGTCAACAGAACAAAACTGGCAGAAAATACGGAAAGAGATCTTAGAACACCAGGACAACAACGGGAAATATACGGAGATGAATATAGACTCTAATGTGATCACCTGTTGTACAAGTTTATCAGAGTAATTTGATGTAATATCTGTTTCACAAATTAGTGAATTTTTATTTGTAGGTATAGCCTGGGTGAAAATTACTTTAAATATTTATCCACTGAAAATAGACAACCAAACTTGGCTACTTTAGGAAATTTTATGAAATTGCTATACTTTAAAAACAGAAGCAAGCTATCCAAAACCGAAGAAGACTACATATTGAAAATTTTCAGAGAAGTAAGGAATAAATATAAAGTTTTGGACTCAATTACCTTAAATAATTTGGCCTTGGCCGTTTCCTTGACTAAAGAATGGAGAAAATGTCTAGATATGCTTGTGGAAATTAAGGTATCAGATGTGCCAACAATTTTAACCTATAGTGCAGTTATAGCTGCTGCTTTCTCTCATAAAGATGAGGTAACCGCATTCCAGTTATTAGAAGAACTTCTGGCGCAAGATAAAACCCCATATAGCATAGTCTATGAAGCCTATTTAAACAATGTAAGGAGGTTGAGGAAGCGAGAAAACATAAAACTGAAGCTGGAGCAACTGTTTGAGTTTTTGAGGGAAAATGAAATAATTTGTGGTCAGGATATTGTACCTAATATCTTGGAACTTTGCGGTGCTAATGGAACCAAAACAACAGTATGCACCTCCCGAAATTGGTCAGAAACCATCAACATTTTATCATTTGTAGGTTAATTATAGAGGTGTTTGTGATCACTGTAAGAATAAACTAGAGGAGTTGATATTGAGCGATGAAGAATTCCATGCCCTTAGAGAGGCTCTGGTTAAAAAAGTGATTATAGGAAAGGATTTGTTTTTGAAGACTAATCCTGCAGAGTTGGAAAAATTCAAAAATTTCATCCAAAACATGGGTAAATTCGATGTAGTTTTAGATGGATTGAATATTGCGTATTCAGCGGGTAACAAAGGTCCAAATGTATATCCGCAATTGGTGAGTATTTTTGGCAGCAGTTTTTTTTAGTGCAACAATTCCAGTTTTAGATCAGGTCGGTTGTTCAACATTTTGTTGATAAAAACAAGACTGTATTAATGCTCGGTAGAGTACATATGACCAATTGGAATAAATATCATTGGAACTATATCAAGCAGCATTCATCAATTTTCCTCACACAAAACATTTCACATGATGATCCTTATTTATTATACTGTGCATTAAATTCCGGAAAAGATACCATAGTGGTAACCAGAGACTTAATGAGAGGACACAAATTCCTTTTGGAAAATTTACGTCTCAAGAAATTATTTCAAAGATGGTTGAGGCAGAGGCAGTACAATTTGGTAACTGTGAAAGAAAACGGAAGGCCCATATTCAGGTAAAAAGTTTTTAATGTAATAAGTAAACGCAGTGAGGGATTTTATTTTAGGGCACCGCCGCCTTTTAGCGCAATCGCACAAAAAGTTAACGAAGTGTGGCACGTACCAATTGTTTCCTCGACTGAAAGTTCCACTGATAATTTCCATAGTAAATGGTTGTGTTTAGATATTAGATAAATAAAGCATTTGGTCAGTGGAACATTTTACCTATTTTTTTTATAATGTATTGTTAATGTTAAAGTATGAACCTACTTATGTTCTTTCATCTTGAAATTTACAAGTTGTGGACACAATGACTGGTGTACGAGTTCATCATCGCGTGTTATTTTCTATCAATTTCTCATTTGTATCTGCGATAGCAATACCCCCATATGCTTATCAAATAATATGGTTGAGTAAAACTTAATGCTTCTCGAGAGACTATATTTTCGTATAAATGGGATTGACCTGCGGCGCATGGCTCTAATGCAAAATGCACTAACCTGCATTTTGCGCCATTTCCTTTCCAAACAGCTATTTCCACATATTTTGAGACAATAGTGCCGCAAAAATACCGAATCCAAGCGTTGAGGATTTGTAAAAGAAATTAATTTTAATATTTTTGTGTTACTCCTAAAATTTTATCTAATTGTAAATGCCTATTACAAGTTCTGTGAGAATTTCGAAAAAAACAAAAACAATTGAGTTTTTAATTTATTTGTCATTGTAAAATACAATTAATCATTATCCTCCTCATCTTCATCTTCCTGGTTGTTGATCTGGAAGTACCTTAGTTCATAGGATTCTTTTCCAGATGCCACAACACGAAGCCAATCTCGTAAATTGTGCTTCTTCAAATATTTTTTAGTAAGGTACTTCAGGTACCTGTAACAAGTCATCATAACCGAAAAGTAAGAAAGGGCAATAATATTAACTTTAATGTTGCTGGCCATTGTATTTGATAACATATAGAATAAATGTAGCAAACATAGCGAGGCACAGCTTTTTCTTTCCACAGTACAAAACGCCACAACCTATCATCAATTAGAGTAGTGTGGAGCTGGGACTGTGGTATATTTCCAAAATAAAAAATAAAACACACTAACCTTTTTGAGAATGGAATTTCTGAGTTCAAAACTATTTTGGTATTCTTCTCTTTTGACAGAGTAACAGCATGATGACCTGATTTTCCGCTTGCAAACTCACTGGTTTTCCCGTTGATCTTTATTCTAGTTTTGAGGTAGTTTTCCAAGTCGCTAACGTCCATAATATTGTCTTCAACAGGATGAGTGCAGTCGATTACGAACTTTAAAGCAACCTTCTTCTTTTTTATTCCTTTGCCTCTAATCTGTTGCTTTTTGGGCGCTTGTTTAGGTGCCGCCTTCCCGGCCGCTACAGCGGGCTTTGTCTGGAATCAACAACAAAATTAGTTGTCTTTCAACCAGACTAGTTTTCGAAAGCCCCATGCGGAACCTTCTGTTAACTGTCTGCAAATGAAACAAAAAATATTAACAAGGAAACTTAGATCACACATTTAAACGGCCGATACTTAAAGAAAATAAGCGAAATCAAAACGGATCACCAAAAAGAATAAAGATTTTTAAGAATACTCACGGGAGCCATGTTTTCCTGACAATCCTTCAGAGCAGAAAGATCGTAGAATTGTCAGAAATCGAACAACGAATTAGTACTGTCAAAACTTTTGTACCACAGAATATTCAATTCAATAATTCGTTTTACTAATACAGTTGGGCAACACTGGTATGATCATTCGCCCAACCACAGAATATTATTTTATTTTTCTTCATAACTTCATATTCTTATTACGTAATACACTACTGTAGGAACGTTGAATGTTAAATTTTGAAGTTTTAATTAATGACGATGATCGGGTGAACTTCCCAATAATCGAGGATATCATTATGAAACAATTTTTAATCAAAATATGCACTACCTTTCCTATACGCTGATCATTGGTAGGGATATAAGCTCAAAAATCGTGGTAGCATCATATGTTTGTTACGCATTAATTCAAATACGTTTGCCCTGGTAAAGAAGTCTAGAAACCGTGTTCTAATACTAGCATTTGGTCTGCTGGTCAACGTGGCTCCCGAATAGAAATGATTAAGCAGCAATCACCGTCACCTGCCTTTAGTAGGAACGTCAAAATAAAACCTGACTAAGAATTAGCAAGACTAACACTAACCAAAAAAAAATGTTCGAAGGCAGACGAAGGCAAAAATTGGGGAGCCAAATTCACCGGCATTTTCTGAAGAGTTATATCCGATCGCCTTCGGACAGAATCGTAATTTAGTTATTTAAAATTAAAATATGTAATCGCAGGCTGCAGGCTAGTTCCTGAAAAGACACATTTCTAGGCATATATATTTTCATCCAAAAAAGCATAAAGCGTTACTAATAGGTTAAATGGAAGCTGTATCACTGTTGACAGCGAGATATGCTCTAATGGATCGTCTTGCGTTTAATTAATCACGTCACATCGCTTTTTTTGCCGCGCCCCGCAATCATCATCCATTAAGCGAAACATCTTCCCCTTATTTACACTGCCGAAATATCCTTTGCCCTCTGCCGCTGATCGATCGATGGTAATTTTCTGGCACACCGGGTATTACCGCCCCACCACGACGCAATCGACCGACAGGCGCGGGCGCCTCTATCGACCGACTCGGCAACCACGCCGTGCGACAAACCCTTGGAGTCGAGACCAAGTCTCATGCCGATCGTGACGTTTTGTTGGTAAAATTATTATGCTGTGAGAATTCGCGTTCCATTGGACTTTTGAAGCAGAGGACAGTGTATTTTTTAGTGGCAAGTAACATTGCAGACATGTCGCTCGTGCGGGTGCTGTGTGTCTTAGTGATTGGATACTGTGTCGCGGCTTCTGAGAGCGAAGAATATACCTCAGGTATGGGACACACACGACGATGCGAAAATTTCACCTGTGTGGTATAAAACCAACATCGCTCCGGGGTAAATAAACCGAAAAACTGTGTCACGAGACGGCAGGCGGTGCATTTGTAAACAACCTCGTTGTCGGAGATACCTCTGTTTCATAGTGTATCGATTGATTTCGTCCAAATCGTACGATTTTTGAAAAAAATTGATCGAAAATTCGCGGATTTCGACAAAATGGCGAGAATGTTTCTGGTTTCTTATATTTTGTTACTATCCTGCAACTTTGCGGGTCGCGAGCGAAATCGACCGATTGCCTTTTCATTTTTAATCGATAAACCAAGTGCTTTATCGATGTGTAGGTTTCGCAGGTGCAATTTTCTTCGTGGATTGTGTTTGTTGCTAGTTAAATATTAATCAGGAGCTTTGGCTATCGAAAATTACGGCCCAAAACAAAGATTACCGCATAATTAAGAAATGTTTTATTTAAACTAATAAAGCTCGAAGAAAAAACAACCGCATTTGTTTCTCAGAGAGCGTTTATCGCAACTATTTTACAGCTGCTTGCCTGTGTTTATTTTTATTTGTAGCCGAAGGTGGTAAAATAATTAACATACATGTGTTAATGTTATCTTATTGAAGAGAGCGTCATGTTATGGCGAAATATGCAGTAGCTAAGTTTTGACTGGGGTCTTAGTCGCTCATCTTAAGGTAGGTAGCAGATGGTCGCATAGCAGGTACCAAAAATCTTTGATTCTCTTAACCTAAGCCATTTTATTGAGTTTAATGCCAATTTCTAGAAAATTTTGCGATTTTAGGCGAGAGTCATTTAAAATTTGTACGTAAAACATGGACAAAGCATTTGTTTTCACAATAAATACTACTACTATTACATACTTAGCATTTGAAACATACAATTTTCTTACGATTTTCTATTCTATTCCCCATTTTAGTCAACCCTGTTAATTAAGGGTCATTAATTTTATGAGTATTGTTATACTTTTTACAAAACTTCTGGATTCCTCCTGCGTCGGTTTTTCCTGAGTCGAACTTGCGGTCTTTTTTCGTGTGATTTTGTTTCGAAAGTGAAGTGTTTAAGTATTTTTGTTGGTCTGTGACCAAAAAGAAAAATTCCTCGAAGGATGTCTTTAATGGGCGAATGACCATAGTAGTCGTCGTCGTCTCTTGTTCTGTGCTATTAAATTCGATTAAATTAACCCAATTTCGTATTAAAATTGAACTGTGTGTATATTAGAGCACCTAAAACGAATGAAAATGTTGTTGAACGGATTTTCTGCATTTTGATGGGGTTGTAGAAATGTGATTTATGTTCGTCGGGGTATATGTTGAGCGCGACCCCTTCGCTGTCGGGTAGAACGAAAATTGAATTATTAGCAATTCAGCTAATTCAGTTGTTCCCCCGAGCGTGTTGCAAATAACCACGGAATAAATCCGGCAACTTCTCGGGGGAGACGCAGTATATTGAATCCGGAACTATACATATATTGCGAAAAATTGTTTTCACAAATGTACGTTTTTGTAAGTTTAAACGCGTTTTTTACATCTGCCTCAAATTTTACAAATTTGTACGAAATACATAAAATGCATTATACCGAGTTTTAATAAATAACATAGTAAATGGCGTTTCCCTTACTAATAGATAAAGTTCAACGCTACTTACGGCGGAATTAGGTTTCCGATTATAAAGTTTAAAACGTAGGCGGCGTTGTCGGTAGTAACGCGAAAATAGTAAATATTAAAAAAAAAAGTAAATTCTTTTTCTAAAGTTTTTTTTTCGACTTACAATACTTCACATTTTATTTTTTTTATCTGGAAACTGTCAGTTTTATGGAAAAAATTTCTAATAAACCGTCTATCGAAATTTATTTCTTTCCATGTCATTGCGTAAGTTTTTCTTTAAATTTAGTTAGGAAGAATGATTTTATTTATATTTATAATTTATTGATAATTGAATTTGTAATTATAATTTTTAAAACTGAAGTCAGAAATTGGTCACACATGTTATTTACACAGAGAGGAGGTTTGAAATTGATATTTCTTTGTTAATGCCTGTGGCTACTTTTTGTTCGTTTTAATGTTGCCTGTAGATGAGAGAACGCTTTACTCTTATCACGTGATCGGTTTTGTTTGCTTGAGTTCATTTTAAATTTACCATAAAAATACTATACACCATACATTTGTAATGTTAAAAATGCGCAACACGCTGAAAATTCCATCTTTTTTATTGCGCAACCCCCGACAGCCCCGTCTAACTTCCGCCTCGTGCTATATATTGCTTTTTTGTTACCGTCCTGATATAAATAACACGTAAAAGCTTTTTGCATGTCGCACATATTAATTTATCCGATATTATAACGCTACTCGTCCCACGCGGCTCTTTTTTATCACAAAACCCTTTTTTACGTATTCATATTTATGATCTCGGATGTTGCTTTTATGCTTTATTTAACAATCGGATCTGTGAGGTGATCAATGCTGTGTGTTTTTCTTTTTGGTGTTGGGGTATAAAAGCAATTATAACGACGTTAGAATCGGTAATAGGCGACCTAACTAAAACTATCACTACTACAAAATAAAGATTTCACGAGAAAAGAAATATACGGAAGAATTGTATATGCACGAGGTTAGCGCCAAAATTTCCCGGCCTGACGTAGATGCAGCTCCAGTATCACGATAAAACTTGGTCTTCTTTTAAATATATATCTTAGTAGGCTGCGAAAAAAAATTGGAGTCTTGCGTCAAATAGATTTTTATTGACAGCATTTTAAACAAGACGTGTCAAAAAAAATGTCGCAAATAACGCAAATTAGCACCTAAAATTATTAAATAAATGACGGAAGGTGTGTACGGCCAAAGTTCTCCTTCGTATTCTGTAGTGAAAGAATGGGCGAAACGTTTCCGAATGGGGCTGGAGTCCCTTGAAGATGATTCAAGGACTGATCGACCAGTGGAGGTGATAACGGAAGATATTGTTGTGGAAGAAGTGGCATTGTGTGATCGACGTTTAAAGGTCAAGGAAATCTCAGAAATTGCTAAGCTTTCTGATGCAAGTGTTCGTCGAATCCTGCATGATCATTTAGGTATGCATAAGGTTAGTGCAAGACGGGTTCCTAAAAACCTTTCGGCTATTCAAAAACAACGGCGGGTCGAGTGTGCGCGTGCTTTTGTGCAACTCTGTGGGTCGGAACCGAAGCCTGTGATAGAAACTATTGTGACGGGAAAAATGAATCAATGGAGTGGCGTCGTAAGAAAATTCAGAGTCTGCCAGTCAACAAAAAAGGTGATGGCCACGATCTTTCGGGATTGTGAAGGAATTCTTTTGATAGATTTTAAAGAAACTAATACTATTGTCAATGGTAAATATTACGCAACATTATTAAATAAATTGCGAGACTGCATACGTGTGAAAGGTCGAGGAAAACTGACCAGAGGCGTGCGTCTTTTGAACGATAATGCACCTGTCCATACTGCTGGTGTTGCACAAGCTGCCATTTTAGGGTGTGGGTTCCAACAGATAGATGTATAGTCCCGATATGGCCCCCAGCGACACTTATTTATTTGAAAAATACTATATATTTGAAAAAGGACTTGCATGGACGGCTGTTTAACGACGAAGTTGAGTTAAAAGAGGCTGTTTTAGCTCATTTTGCAGACAAAGCAAAAAAATATATTTTTAAAGGGATTGAGTTGTTAATAAGGAGACGTAATAAGTGTATTGAAGTTAAGAAGGGGAATAATATTGAAAAATAATAAAAAATTGTTACTCTGCTTTGTTTCTTTCGTATTCAGGCCGGGAAATTTATTACTTCCCCGTCCCGCCGTTTTGAGAACCAAGTATCGTATTCGAGTAAATTATAGGTAAATTGGACATCACAAACGCGTAATAATTTATTATAAAATTCATTTAATGACTAAATAATGATAGATGACAATTGTTAGCAATTGTAGAGGCAAGATGGTATTTAAAAAATTGTGATCGAATTTGACTAGTCAGAGAAAAAGGGGTCAATTAACCAGCCCCAACACTAGCTACAAGAGTTATGAAGAAGACCCGACATCCTCGATTGTTTTTTTTTTTTTTTTTGAGAGAGAAATTGAATGGTTCTCGCGTTAGAAGTCCAATTTTTTACTTTTACCATTTTGATTAAGGATTAAGATATTTGCACATTCTTCAGACATTTTTAGAATAGAATTAATTGCCTTAACAGATTGTGAATATCATTTATTTTTATAGAACTAATTAATTTTTCTCTTTTCAACGATATCGAAAAATTACGAATTGTGTGCCAAAACTTCTATAAAATTTACTGAAATATAAGGGAAAAATGATTTACAGTGAAATTGCAAAAGCAAAGGAGATTAAATTTTTGCAATAAAATACTTGCGGTTATTCACGTGAAAATGATCACCAACTGTGTTTTACCTGCAGCTAATTTTTGCTAATCTAATGATCTTCATATAGTTTTGGTTAGTTTTGTTTATTTTATGATTTCTAGTTAGATTAGTATTCATAAAAATTAAGGCCTCTATTTGGTTAGTAAAAACGTTGAAACTCAGCAAGTTGGTATAAGAAAACTTAAATGTTGAATTTGATCGTATTTTTCTGTGATTTTTTTAAAATACCTACGACTTAAATTGTTTTTTAGGCCGCCACTTTTAAAATCGACGGTTATCGAAGGTAATATAATAAAATTAAAAAATATACATTTTTCCCTTGATATTATCAAAATAAATAAACCCTTCGTTATTGCTCCTATCAATATGAATGAATATTATGAATATTCCGAATATTATGCACCAACGCTCCGCTTGAGATTCGCCATAAAAAAAATAAACGCTTGGTTTTCAAGGTGAGTGGCTTCTTTATAATATTTTAATTGTTTTTCTCCAGCTTTAACTCAAATTGTCCATTATCGTCCAGAGACATATCTTAACGAATAGGGGCAGGTGGGGCAAGGAGGCTCACCTCAAAAATTAACCAATTTTTTGTCC